GTCAATCCACAAATAGAATTATGTCACTTAATGCCACTCACAGCACACAATACCCCAAATAACCAAAAGTAACCCCAATTCACTTGCACTTCACTCACGTATTTCCACAAAGAAAATGGAAAGGAGATGAATTCACCAAACTATTTAACTTAAAAATTTCACTTAATCAACAAACAGATCTATTTAGTTTAAGGCACAACTCATAATACACACTACTACACTAAAAATATTCAAAACTATAAAATAACCTCAATTTACACGTATTTGAAATTTCACAGCACTACATAAGCCTAAGGTGTTGTACTTATGTTCTATTAAAACACAGAAAGATTAGCACCTAACTATTTATTTTTGAGAAAAACAAGTTAAACAAAATATTACATCAATTAGGAAATATATAATATAATAGTGTATCGGTCGGTAAGCAAAAAAAAAATAGTCACGTCAAAATCAATATTTTTATACAAGATACTCATTCTTTCCTTCAGTATTGGACAAATCTATTTTTACTTTCTGAAGTACCTCCTGCATTCGTTTTAAGTTTTTAGCTGATGTTCCCTCCTTCTTAGACAGTCCTGTAATAAAAATCCCAATTACAGTAACACATCACCACAGCACTCTTTGAGAAACTATTTTTTCTGAAACTCTGTAAGGTAAATTAATGAGGGAAGTGTTTTATTATTTTCATGCAACTTTCTTCAGACTTCAACAAACTGAATTAAATGGCTGCGACATACCAAAGGACTTTGATGGCAGAATTTAACACTAATATTAGAACATCTCAAAAGAATGGTCAATGCTGATAACAATATAAGTGTGTGTCAAAGTGCACTAAGGAGTGATAAATACAGGATTATAATATGGTATACCTCTCATATAATTCTCTATTTTGATCTTTTCTTCCTGCAGGCCCTGCACTTGTCTTGTTAGCTGAATTTTAAAACCATCTACTTTTGCTGAAAATTCTTTCCAAAGTTCTTCCACCAGGACTTTGTTCTGTACGTCCTTCTCGTCCTGAAGCTGTTTCTGTAATAACTGTTACAAATATTGTCATAATAGTGAATCCGCTCGTCTCTTAGAATTTACTTTTGAATTTAATTTTTATGTCCCAGATAAAAACAGCTTACCAAATCTTTCAGCCTTTGTTTTTCCTTCTCCTATAGCTTTTTGTATAAAAATTCTTCGGACTTTTCCTTTTCTCTTAGCATTTCACACAACAATTCGTTGGACTTCTTCTCTTCTCTTAGCATTTTGCACAACAATTCGTTGGACTTTTCCTTTTCTCCTAGCTCTTTGTACAACAGTTCATCTGACTTTTCCTTCTTTGCTAGTAAAGTTTGCATTTTCTTAATTTTTTCTTGCAGTATGTAATTTTCCTGGTGAAGATGAAACAAGGAACATTTATTAAAGAAGTTTAGCAAGTTTTCTTCTTCTATCACTATAGAAGGGAAAAAATGTTTAATCACTGTTCTTACGCAATATACCACAAAGATTTATGGACGAGCGCCAAACATTCTTAACCTAAACAATGAATGAAGGTGGATGGTCATTATCGCATTCTGGTAGAAGACACGGCCATTTTCTTTCGAAAACCTTTCCTGGCGTAATTCATTGGAACGCTTTGGTATTTGTATCACAATCTGTATATGCTATGTAGAGTAGAGTAGAGTTGAGTAAAGTAGTTTATTTACATTCCATAGATCCTTCTTAGGACTCAACCAAAGGATGTAATTTTAAATATAAATACAAAACTTGCTTTACATATACGTAGATTATGGATATAAAGCTTAAACATTTTCAGCAGAGATGAAATCATCTACAGAATAGAAGGAGTGAGTAAAGAGGTAATCTTTCAATGCAGGCTTGAATACCTTTATATCATAATTTAGACTTTTAATTGTTGGTGGAAGATTATTAAACAACTTGATACCTGTATAGTACACTCCTTTCTGATATTTAGTAAAGTTAGCATTTGGCACATATAGATCATGTTTACGTCTTGTATTTAAATTATGTACATCTGTATTTCTTTTAAATTTATCCATGTTTTCCACCACAAATGATAGCAAGCAGAGTATAAATTCACTTGCAAGTGGAAGTATATTAAATTTACGAAATAATTTTCTACAAGATACCCTGCTTTTGACACCGGCCATTATTCTAATTATTTTCTTTTGCATGTAAAAAACTTTATTACTGTCTGTTGAATTTCCCCAAAAGATTAATCCATATGACAATACAGAGTGAAAGTAAGCAAAGTAAACTAGCTTTAAAGTATCTATTGTCATGAGTGGTACGACTGTTCTCATGGCAAAGCATGCAGAGCTTAATTTAGGTATAATATACTCAATGTGTTTCTTCCAATTTAAGGTGCAAAACTTACCTCTGGATGAATGATATTAATCTTTGAGTACTTTGTAAGACTTGAGGTACTTGTCACAATCCCCTGACCCTATCAACACGGCACATTCTAGCTCGACCATTCTTTTAACCTATACACAACGTATTCTGAAAACCAAATGATTATATGTAAAATCTGTTTCAAGGCAAGACAAACTACATACATGCCAACTTCACACCCTATTAACATACAGTACCACCAACCATACATTACCACGGATCGTACACATATTCTTTTCGCTTTTTTTACGGAATGACCCGTATAGACGTATTTACATCAAAAATTAACAGTGGAACCACGGTTCCGGAGAATCTGATGTAAATACGTCTTTGTATTTAAATTATATTTAGGGAATAAATACATTGAGAGGAAGTTTATATATTAGCTTTATACTAAATATTCCCTTTATACTTGCTTTACAATTGAGTAAATAATTTGATTAAAGACTGAAGCTGTAATCAACAAGTGTGGCCTGTTCTAATGTCACAGAATTTTAAAGGCCTCTGATTTTGTAACTTTTCTGTTGAGTTGTTAATCTGTGACAGGATCTTCCTATTACTGCAATTTGATTTTCTTTGCTGGTGTCGTGATGTGTAGAGGCATTTTTAGCAAAAAAGGCTGTGACCAATAACTAAAAAGCAACCCCTAAGAAAATATTAATACAAGTCTTAGAATTAAGCAGTGTTAAGATATAATATGGTATATTAGCAAGTCGTAAAATGCATTTGTTATAGATTAATGATACATCTAATTCACGGACGTGTGGGCTGTTCATTGTAGTGCTAAATATTAGCAGTTATATTAAGTTTTAATTTAATAGGTATATGTTAAAATAGCTGTAAGAAGTACCAGTGAGTGAGTGATGAAGGTTTTAATTAGAAGATTGATGGATTCCCCAACAACGAGCTTCTTGACTTTTGGTAAAGTATTTATTAAATTTCGTCATTAGCTACTAATTTCAGAAGGATTATAAATCTGTTCATTGTGATATTAACGCGGTAAATTAAATACCGCGGTTGAACTCGTACAGCGGTAATTTTGTTTCGATGTCCATTTAAATTTTGCACTAAAACACTTTTTTATCATAACTTTTAAATTATATGAGACATAATAATGAAATTTCACTGAAATCCTCTTAAAAGGTTGTTTTATAATCTTACCTTATAATATGAACGCCTTGTATGTGAGCAGTGTGAGGAAGTGGATCAGAAGTTCATCTTCGTATGGAAGTCCTTGAAGCAATGTCTGCTATTTCACTGTCGGTGTCCGAACTATATTTACAGTCACTTTCATCCAGAACTTCTTCTAGAAGTGCCCTTCGCTCAGCTTCATTCAGCACACGACTTGTCGAAGGGAATTTCATGTTGACTATGAGGAGGTCAGGCGATTATTTTTTGACTCAAGGGCACAGCTCAATGGAATTCAGCGGTGTTGCAACATGTCCACATAGAGTTATCTTAGCCTTCATTATATACATTTCTGAGTATAGGGGTGTAAAAGTTTGTTATATGCAACAAAACTGTACATGCCTAATGAATACGTAAAGCGAGATTGATCAGTCTCGAATGCTTCAGATACGACTTTTTTTCCTCTCTCTTTAGTTCCAGGAACTATGGCTGTATCATTTGATACTTCCAGACACTGATAAAATGAATATCCTGCATTCAGAAACAAACACCATGTGTTGAGAGGCAAGTCCCGATAACTCTTGAGGTCACGCAGTAATATTGAGATTGACCATCCCAGCCGCATGAAATACAAAGCTAGTCCTATATGAACAGAGAGAGCATTCTTTTCGCAACAGATAAACTACAAACATCATATATTAGTCGTTATTCGTTCCATAGTTATGGGCTGCAAAAGTTAAGCTAACAGCCTGGCGTGCACTGCACTGACATATACGGCTCGCGAAATTTAAATGCCCTCGAGCGTTACCAGATTATACTGACATACACGCCGAAGGGTTAAAGGGTTAACTATGATTATGTTCAAGAGAACATGGACTGTAGGTACTCTGGACGTCGAAATTTCTGATTTTGTAGATACCGTGCTCTTGCAGTGTAGAATATATTCAAATTATACTAAACATTTTATGAAGATTTCCGTCTTCTGGGTTTTATTGTCGAGAGAATTCTCTATCGGATGATACGAAACAATAACCTTAAAGCTATTAAACCATGCGATACGAGATGAGATAGTAAATGTTTATATAAAATGTTACTGGACAAGCGACAATGTCAAGACCAATGCAACCTGAAATCTTTTGTAAACTGTTTTGCATGCTTAAAAAAAATTGTTCTATATTAATCGTGAGGCATGACACACGATGCAACTGTATAAATTCTGCGAGAAAACTCTGTCGCGAACTTAAATCGTGATGTCAGTATCTTCTCAGTTTCTTCCGGCCAAATACTTGATATCACATTAAAATTGGCCACGATTTCTTAATCCACATAATTCCGCTATAGAGTCTGAGCTATTAGCAGCCACAGTCCTCTGAACATTAGGACATACAATGTAAAAGGTTAATACAACGAATTATATGTAGCATGCATTCTATGATTGTAATCTGATCTTAATTTTGTTGTGACAATTTTGATTTGATAAAGATGTCTTGAACTCAGCATATTATCTTGCATTTGTGTTTTGTCTGGAGGCATACACAGCCACATGCATCTTCACCCCCTTCATTTAGCTAGCCGCTAGTATAATTTAAGGGACAGCAAGAACATTAAACTATGTGTTATGTTTGTTGGTAATACTTGAAACAGTTAGTTTTAAAGACAATAACTTTGCAGATCAGGAAACAGACAGCCATGTGAAGTGGCGGTTCTCCACAACTATAACTAATACTATGCATGATGGGGAGTTTTGTGGTTTATTTTACTAAGTAATTTCCTGGTAGCAGAAGCTGCATGTCCAACACCGGCAACACTAAAGCCTGCCACCAAACACAATCCTGAGCCTATTCCACCCATTTTTCATCCTCACAGCCCACCTCCCTAAGATCCATCTTGATATCATCCTCCCAACTTGTCCTTGGTCTTCCCAGTGGTCATCTTCCAAAGGATTCCCACCAAAATTTTATATGTACACCTTGCCCTCCCCCATGTGTGCGACATATAGATTTTACAATCATGGTTTATTTTATTTGTAAGATTAATATAATTATTAGTGTAAAAATTTACTTCCTGGTCAAGTCTTTAATTCTAATACTCTGTTACAGCAGAACAAACAGGGACCGTCAGTGTCAGCGAACCTGATTTTGAATCCCTGAAGCTTCTAGGAGGAGGTAAGTGCAGGTTTCTCTTAATTCTGCACCAATTTATCTGCTTATACAACACGAACCTGATTACTCGAACTTTCATGGATAGGTGGGCAGCAGACTAGTAGTAAAGTTATTAGTTGTAGTTGTAGTAGTAGTAATAGTAGTAGTTGCTGCAGCAGAAGCTCTGGAAGCAAGAAAAGTGGAACCCAACCCCAGTTTCGCATCAGTTACAACTTTTATAGGCAGGTGACTACAAAAAATTTAAAGATATTGGACATGGTTACAGAATATTTTACTATATAATAAATTGCAATTATTAACAACTGTCTGAGCAGAACTGCAGAATGTCTCTCGACTCAGATCCATATCGCCATTAAACTTCCGTAGACCATGGAATTAACGCATCATAATTATGTGCATTTTTTTTGTTTCAGGAAGTCAGAATATGTCATGGAAGATAATTCAAAATAATGCAGAATTTGTTAATCTCGTATCTATAACAATGGAAATGTTTTAGCAACAATACCAATCTTTTACTTTCCTTTTCTGATGGCTGACATTATTGAATTTTTTCCCAGCAAAGTACCGGGTCTCCAATTTATTCGGCTGCGGTCGTGCTTGCATTGCGTAGTCGGCCGACGCACTGTTGATGTCGGCGGGAGTCGTGCCCGTTCTTCCGGTGGGTGACCGGCGAATCAGTTTCAGTGCCGCTAGTAAGAACGAACTACAAATATTTCTCGTCACTGATACATGTTATTACATTAATTGTTTT